AGAGACCCAGGTAATGTTCTGGGGATCTGAGTCTGAATCCCACCACAGCAGATAGAATTTGAATTCAATAAGGATCTGGAATTAGGAGTCTGATGATGACCATAAGTGCATTGTTGATTGTCAGAAAAACCCATCTGGCTCACTAATGTCCATTAGGGAAGGAAAGTGCCATCCTTACCTGGTCTGTCCGACGTGTGACTCTAGTAATGTGGTTGACCCTTAACTGCCCTCTAAGACAGCTAATAAATAGTGGCGTAGCTAGTGATGCCCTCATCCTGTGAATGAATTTTTTAAAAATCCTAACTCCTTGCTATGTGAAAGTTATCTTAAATCTGAATTTTTCATTCTTGATCATTCCACTAATGTGAACAATTTTCCCAATCTATTCTTTCCAGACCCCTCATAGTTAGTTTAGTCAAGCATGACCTACCTTTTATGAATCAATACTTAGCTTCCTTAATGAACTCTGAGGCTCTCCACATGTGTATTAATTTCTTTTGCCAAATGGTTTCTAAACCTCATCTACCAGTAATAAGGCTGTATTTACGAGGAGTGTCCTTGCACCCTTTCTTGAAAAGCTGTGTCACATACCAATCCTCTGACACCACTCCATACTTGTGAAAATTATGACAAACCCTCCACAATCTCCGTTCCCACTTCCTTTAGCAATGGGGGTGCTGGTGATCTGGACTAGGCAACTCGTCCTTTCTAAGCATGACCAGCCATTCCAGTGCTTCAATTTTCAGCGCTTTCATTACTATTTCTCTCAGCTTCTTCAAGTATTTGGGTAATTAAAATTGCCCAGTATCGCTGTATACTACTTGCACACCTGTGTCATTTCCCTGCAGGTTTATTCCTCTGTGCCGCTCTGTGTCAATACTTGGGAGTCTTTTGGGACAAGTCTTTGGATGGCACAGTGGCTCAGTGTTTAACACTGCTGCCTCACAGCCTGAGGTACCCGAGTTCAATTCCAGCCTGGGGCGACTGTCTGTGTGGGTTTCCTCTGAGTGCTCCAGTTTCCCCTATCAGTCCAAAGATGTCCAGGTTAGATGATTGGCCATGGAAAATGCAGTGTTACTGGGATAGGGTAGGGGCCTGCTCTCTCACTGTAGGGATTCTACGATTCTAAATGTGGAGGTACAGTGATTGGGTAGGAGTCTGGCTCTGGGTGGGATGCTGTTTGAAGGCAGATTCAATGGACCAAATGGCCTCTTTCTCACATAGGCATTCTGTGATTCTATGATGTGATGAAAAGTTTGGTCAAAGCAGTCTTACTGAAGAGAGAGTGAGCGAGAGACAGAGCCAGAGTCAAGTCTCAGGTGGGGTTTCCAGAGCTTGGGGCTGAGGCAGCTGACAGCATGGTCACCAAGTGGAAAGTGATGAGAATTACATTTTGTGCAAGAGGTCAGAAATGGGAGTGCATGTGACAGGAGAGCAGAAGATTCTTATCAAGATGGGAAGGTGATGTTATAGAGGAGATGGAGAATTTTGAAGTTGAAGCCATCTAAGACAAATACACAGTTATTGTAGATCAGTGAGTGCTGGTGACAGCAGAATGGGATTTGGTGTGAGCTATGAAATGGGCAGCACAGTTTGTCCGAGCTGAGGTTTTAGAGGCTACAGTGAGTATCTACCAAGAGAGAATTGGAATAATCAAGACAGAAATAGGAAAGGGCATGGAGGACAGTTGCAGCTGCTGCTGAGCTGAGGCAGGGGCAGAGGTGGGCGACACGACAGAGATGCAAGTAGCCATTCCTGGTGCTGTAGCTAACGTCGGGTTGGAAGCTCAGCTCGGTGTCAAGTGTGAGACTAGACATCTGCAAACCACTAAAGTTGATTGAATTTTCTCCTGTTCCAGGGTGGCTCCCTGTTGTCCTCTCCATTCCTGAAGGGGTTCCTGACGGGATACGTCGTGGCCAAGCTGCGAGCCTCTGCTGTCCTGGGTGTGCTAGTGGGGACAGTCACTGGGATCTATGCAGCCCAAAACTACAACATCCCCAATATAGAAAACTCAGTCAAGGATTACCTGAACTCTATGAAGAAAGGACCAAAGTAATAATCATCCCTCCATCTCTGCAGTCTCTGAGCCAGTTGACTCATATCAGGGAACGGGGAACTGCAGGACAATCAAATGTGAACGTGGAGTGCAACTGGCCTTTGATATTGTTGCTGTAAATGACTTATAAAGCTTGACTGCTGTAGCTTGATGTTCACAATGAATCTGACTGAAAAACGGGTGCATGCAAACGCACAATTGCCTTCTCGCTTCTCTATCTGTTCTCACTGCATCTTTCCTGGCCTTGTACCCAACCCAGCAACATTTGCCTCGCGTGAATGAATTTGTTTTTTGGCGAGCTGCTTCAGAAAAGAAATGGAAACTCTCGAAGATCCTGGCAGTTTTGGCTTGTCTCCTGCGACGGGTCGGATGAGGGGCCAGTTCGGCTGGGGACTTGTGCTGCTTCTCTCTGTTCTTGCCTATGGCTCGCATGCACCTTTGATCAGCCTGTGCAAGGTGGGCGGGAGGGTGCCCTTCAGTTCCTCCTCTGTTGTGGTTCTGGTCGAGCTGGCAAAGCTCACCATGTCTTCCGTGTTATTCCTAGCTCGTGACCGCGGCAGTTTTGCCAGCGGGGGAGCTATCTCAGTGTGGGCAGCCCTCCCGTTCGCCGTGCCCGCCTCCCTTTACGCAGTCAACAACAATCTGGTTGTCCATATGCAGCACCACATGGACCCTGTGACCTTTCAGGTGCTGAGCAACCTCAAGATTGCAACCACTGCTGCCTTCTACAGCCTGCTGCTCCGCCAGTGGCTGCCTGCACGCAAATGGCTGGCGCTGCTCCTGCTGATGGCAGCTGGGGTTTGCCACACTGGTGCCATGCATGGCCGGGCAGGAAAGATGGAGCCAGCGACCCATGGCCGCCTGTACATCACTCTGCAGGGTGCGATTGCCATCACTGCCTACTGCTCGATATCTGGCCTCTCTGCAGTGTACACAGAGTGGGCTCTGAAGTCCCAGCCACTGCCCCTCAACCTCCAGAACCTGTTCCTGTATGCGTTCGGTGTTGCTGTCAATCTGATGGTGCACACAGCCAGCTCCCCCTCCACCAGCTTCTTCCAAGGCTACTCAGTCTGGGTGGCTGTGATAATTGGCAGCCAGGCTCTGAATGGCTTGCTGATGTCGGTCATCATGAAATATAACAACAACATGACCAGACTCTTTGTCATTTCCTGCTCCATGTTAGTTAATGCAGCCCTCTCTGTCCTCTTGTTTGACCTGCAGCTCACCCCATTGTTCTTTGTAGCAGTGGGGCTTATCTGCCTGGCTATTCATCTCTACTATCGAGTTAGGTAATACTGATCGACAGGGTCATAGTCCATTTGGATTCAGATTGCGTCCTCCCTGTCCCATCCAATTTGTTTTAATTTTATAGATTACCTTTTTGTATTAGGTTTTCTCAACACTGACTCTCATCACATTCAGTCTATCTTGCCTCATGCAACACCACTTTGATGTCACTGAAGTGAAGGTGGGTCGAATAAGGGAGTCATCATGTGATTGAGCTGTTGGCTTATGATGTCTTAATGTCCGAATGTGGGAACCACTGTTCTTCACATTTTTACTGCTAGGGCCTGAGCCACTGCTTCTTCATTTCCAGCATCTCTCTGTCACAAGGCTTGCCACCCCAGGAGACGTTCCTTAAACAAAAATCTTTTCCACTTCATTTCATTTGAATTTTTTTTTTAAAGTTTCAAAAATCATCCAATCAGGTGATTAGAATCATTTCACTTCTGAGGTCCTCTTTGAGCTTGATTGACATAGAACAGTTTTTGTTCGGTGCAGTGGAAGCTGTGTGACTTCAGGCTGGCTATGAAGAGAATCCAGAGCCAACTCCCCAATCTGTGCGAGCCCCACACTGTTGAGTATTCTGGAAGCAGAAAATTCAAGCGAGAGAGAACTCGAAACAAAACTCTGTGTGGGTCTTCCCTTTTGTCTTTTTACTAATTATTTATTTCAACAGGAAAGTGATCTCAGTCCTAAAGAGAGGAATAGGCTATTCAGCTCTCCTAGCCCTACTTCATAAGAACGTAAGAATAGGGGTAGACAGTTCAAACCCCATGCCTGCTTTGCCAGTCAGTAAGATTGTATCACTTTGCTGGCCCTCAGTTTTCCTCTGCTAATAAAATGTTCCGATCCCAGTCTGGAAACCTTCAATTCATGATCTTCTGGGAGAGAGGGTTCCAGATTTCTGAAAGCATTTGTGTGGAGATAGTGTATCCAGACTGACTGACCAGCCCAAAACAAGAGTGATGCTGGAATTGTGGACAAGCTAAGATCTGGCAGAAGAAAAACAATTTCACATTTTAAGCATAGTCTTTCATCAGAATGCATCCAAGTTGAGCTTATCTCAAGAAACGTGCTCTGCCCTAGACACCTAGTAACGCTATTATTGCTTAACCGACCCATTTCTCTCACAGTCTGTGCTACTTTCTATCTTTCACATTAACAAGTGATTAATCATTAGGGTGGAGTTCCATTGATGTCATTCATTGTTCTGTTAATTTGTCAAACTACAATCTGCTGTTCAACCACAAGTGGCATCACAGTCGCACTTTATTTGGTTGGAGTATGCCTCTGGGAAGTGATCTAGAGGTGGAAATACACTCCATAGCCTCCATACTCAGTCTCAAAATTGACGTTTTGAACTTCTCCTGCAGAGCTGAGCTAACTCCGCATGGACCAGACAGTGTTTCAGAAACTTTCTTGTCTTTGTGACTCCTTGTTATCTCTGATGTTGCCTGGTTCAGTTTCTGATCAATGGTGATCACCCCAGGGTGAAGCTGCCCTGTTGTTTGTGGGTGGGCTTTTTCTTGGTCATTGAAGGGTAGCTGCTTAATTCCAATCCTGATGGAGGGCAGTTCTTGAATGAATGGCGCGTGTTTCCTGGCTCCATCCTTTTGATTATCCAGCAGGGAGTATAGGCTGGAAGTAGGCCTGAGGAAAGCCTTTCTCTGAGGGGGGGGGGGGGGCTTCTCACTTTCCTACTGGCAAACTCAGGATATTAAGAAGTCCTTGGAAGGTTGTCTCTGTTCCAGTGCAGTTGAGGGAACAGGCACTGTGCTTCTCCACCCCTCTGCAGCTACCTCTGTCTCCCACCACCTCTGTTGCTGGACACCACAGGACTTTTGTTACCATGAGAACCAGGGCATTCACCTCACATGTAGTGATGACCTCTGGGATCAGAAGGGGTTTTCGTGAGTTGTGATGTCCCCCACAGTTAATCTCCTGAGCAATATTAAAGCTTCCCTGTGAAGAAAAACCACCCTGTGTAGGTTGCATGTGGACACAGTTTGTCATGTGATGTTCCGCCATATATCATAGTGATCTGTCTGATATCTGTTTCCCAGTGGGCTGCTTGCATCCATGATTCAATTTTCCTTTAAGTTAAAAGTCGAGAGAATTGTCTAAAACAAAGTTTGACTTTTATTTTAAGGTGCTAGCTGACTGGGGCATTTCTAACAGGTTTGATATATTACCAGGAGATCTTTCCAAGTCCTCAGTCTATTAATACCATAGTTAACCATAGACAGTGACACCATGTGTTGTGACATTTCAAAACTTGAGTGCATCTGGAATAATCTCACTATGTTTACATATTATACTTAAACTCAGTCAAAAATTCCATAACTATTGTTTCGTTTTTCTGCATTGACGCAATATGAAGATTTTAAAAATATACAAATGCTGTACACTAATGTTATATTGTATTAACGAGCGTTAGAAATGTAGAGAATTTTTTTTTTCCCAAGTTGAAAGCCATTATTTCAGAAGCTGCTTCAATGTTCAGGTTTAAATGCTTGCTTTAGCTTTTTGGCTGCGGAGGTAGCTGCTTTAAGGTTGCAGTAGCAGCTTTATATATCAAAAACTCAATAATGTACACATATCGATGCATGCTGAATACCGAATATTCTCATTTATGCTGGAAATATCAAATTGTAAATTGCTGAGGTGACGCAATGATGTGATGGGTTTAGACACTTGCCTTACGCATCGGGGAGCTCTGTTCAAATGCAGCTCATGTTAAAGTCCTGCCCCTTGTCTGCTCACTCCCAGGGATTCTGTGACTTTCCAGATAATGCCATCCTCCCAACCTCAATGTAGTGAGCTCACAATGGCAGTGTTGCTGTTGGATGAAGCTAGAGGATTGTTGGTGTCTGTGAGAGGAATTCACAGCTCTGCTTTGTGGAGGTTGTGGTATGGTTTGGAGGGTGCTTTGCCCTGTCTTTTCACACTACAGGTGACCAAAGCTGAAACTATTGCACTTCATTGCTCCTAAACATCCTGTGCCTTTCCTCCGGAATTCACCCAAGCAAATACTAGGGTATTTTAACTTTTTTCATGTTAAGGGTTTTTTTTGTAATTTTGTATGGATTTCTTGGATACCAACTTCAGGTTTTTCATAAACTTTGCACATTTTAATTTCTGTTTTAGATGCGTTTTTTGTAGAAACTGAAGTTTCAGTCCAACTATTGAATTTTAAATTGGGGAATGTGTTGCAATTAATGCAAAGAGGTTCCCTTTTATACGTACTTAACTCTTTTCCTCAACACTGCACATATTTCTTTACTGAAGACAATTGCTGAAGTTTTTGTTAATATTCACAACTTTAAGCAGTGCTTTGCCCTGGGTCACATTAGAGAATCAATTAATTAATGTAATTTTGTGTGTTAATTAAAATAATTCTACTTCTCCTAAATCCCAATTTAGGAATGTCCCAGAGGTGTAAATTAATGCCCACAGCGAACAGAACTGCCTAGAGCAGCATATGAGAGAGCCAGATGAAATTTATCTCTCGCGCACACAGGCACACACAGTTTCTTTATCTCTTTCTTTGGGGCGGCACGGTGGCTCAGTGGTTAGCAGTACTGCCTCACAGTGCCAGGGACCCGGGTTCAATTCCACCCTCGGACGACTGTCTGTGTGGAGTTTGCACATTCTCCCCGTGTCTGTGTGGGTTTCCTCTGCGTGCTCCGGTTTCCTCCCACAGTCCAAAACTGTGCAGGGTAGGTGGACTCGCCATGCTAAATTGCCCATAGTGCCCAGGTTGTTTAGGTTAGGTGGGTTAGACATGGGAAATTAGGAGAATGAGTCTGGGATGCTCTTCAGAGGGGCAGTGTGGGCTTTTTGGCTGAATGGCCTGTGTCCACACTGTAGGGATTCTATGATTCTGTCTTAAACACGTATTCACGCGGACACTGTCTCACACACACACACACACATGGACTAACCTTATTTAAGGGGGAATCATTATGATAATCATTAAGAATGATTAGACTGTTGGATAAGTTCACACTTTGACTTTAAGCCAATTAGTTTGGGTGTAGAAAGTGACCTAAGCTTTAAAATTATACTCTTGAGGACAATGCCTGGCTTTCATTGGCCATAAATATTGTTTGTCTTGCTGGCCCAGAATTTCCTGAAGATAGCCAAATGCAATTGTTTTAAAGATGGAGGACATCGTGGGGTAATTGTCTATGCTGTCTCCCAGTTTCCTCCAAGCTAATTGTTCAAAGCTTATCAAAATAACTGCATATTAACAGACACCCATGCAAAAATGCAGTGAATCTTCTGCCTTTTTGCCAGTTCTAATGGACTGTTAACTTACACATGCAGTGGAACCTATGATCACATTTCAGATGTTAAACAATTTTCTCCAGTACTATCAAATATTTTCCTCTGAGACTTACAATAATTTATATTGTGGCATCAAAGTAACTTGTATTTTAAAAAGATGCACATTTTTCATTTTTTTAACATTCCTTTTGTTTTGTCTTATAGCTTACATTAATGAGGTATTCATGAAATTGCACAGTGATTGAAAGATTAATGCGAATTCCACCTTGCCTTACCAGTTGTTTCAACAATTTTTCCCCCCTCTGTTAAATGAACATCTTAACAGGCAATGAAATTGTGATGATCTCCAATTAATAATCCATTTCTACTTCAACCATCTTATATGCAGGATCTGTCCCAATTATGCAATAAAAATCAGTCAGAACAAGTTATATAGGCCTGCTATCCAGTTACTAGGAATCAGGGTGCTTTTTAAACCAGTTTATTGTCCATTTACTTGAACTTTGCAATGACCTGAGAACAAATTGGAAAAACAGACCCAGCCCTGACCTCTCAAATGTAGATGGTATTAGTTTTCTTTTTTAAGCAAAAGGAAAGTACATTGGACTGTTTAATATTTTTTAAAAAAGAAATGTAACTTGGAATCTCTGGAAGAGTGCTGTCATCTTAACGTAAACATAATCACTAAGTTATGTTATAAATTAAAGATATTTTATAAAACTATTTCTTGAGGCTTGTTCCAGTGTTACTTGTATGGAGATTCCTGCTGTCTCGTTTGTAAGGATAATGGATTTCATAACCATAGATTGGTGATAACATAGGAGGCCATTCAGCCCATTATCTGTGCTGACTGCAAGAGCAACTCAACTAGCCTCACTCCTTTGCCCTTTCCCCACAGCACTGCAAATATTTGCTCTTCTGCTTTTCCAATTCATCTTTAAAGTTAATTGAATCTAACGCCGTACGATTAGGCAGCGTGTTCTAGTTCTTGCTCAGTAGATGACAAAAATTCCACTTATTGCTTTGGGTTTTCTTTTTGCAATTCACCTTACGTTGTTGTCTTTTGGTTCTCGAGTCTTTTTAGGAACAGTTTTTCTATCTGTCCTTTCTAGATTCCTTCTGAACTTGAGCATCCTGTGACTACCTTGTTCCATTACCCCTGAATGTTCATAGATTCTCCAACCTCATCTCAAGGCCCAATTCCTGAAACAAATCTCAATATTTTCTGCACCTCTAATACAACCATGTTCTTTTTAATATGTGGTGTGTGAAATTGAAAGTTATATCCGTCACTGAATTGTTACCGTAACAAGAAGAGGCTCTTTGTCCCATTATGTCTACATTGTTTCACCAAACGTGCCTTTCCCCACCTTCTCTAACCTTGCAAATGCGATATTCGGATTTTAAGATGAGGCTGATCAAGTTTTTTTTATTAATTCAGGGATGTGGGTATCACTGGCTGAATAGTATTTATTTCCTGTCCCCAGTTGCCCTTTGAGAAGCTGGTGGCTGCCTTCTTGAATTGCTGCAGTCCATGTGCTATAGGTCAACTCCATGCTTTTAGGGATTTTGACCCAGCGACACTGAAGGAACAGTAATATATTTCCAAGTCAGGCTGGTGTGTGACTTGGAGGGGAACTCGAAGATGGCGGTGTTTCTATGTATCTGCTGCCCTTTTCTTACTAGATGGTACTAGTTGTGGGTTTGAAAAGTAAAAAATGAAAGAACTGCGGATGTTGTAAATCAAGAACAAAAACAAAGTTGCTGGAAAAGCCCAGCAGGTCTGGCAGCATCTGTGAAGGAAAAAACAGAGTTAACGTTTCGGGTCC